TTTACCTACTGGTCCTGAGTAGGGAATTAGGGAATAGAATCCCTATATACTCTCTATACATTACTTGGAGGCCCATGGGACTTAGTAAGTACTTATAACTGGGCTTATAACCCTAATTATAACCCCCCTAAATGGGCTCACAGGCGTTACCCCATTTATAACTAGGGTTATAATGCCAGTTATAAGTGGTTACTAAGTGCCATCAGCCTCCAAGTAGAATCTTCTATGAACCAAAGAAAGTTCATCGAAGTGCAGCTTTGGAGCTGCTTGCGAGCTTTTCTCGTGTTCCTCCCGTTTCGAGGAACTCTTTAGTATGCACGTGTGCAGGAGAGATGCGCAGCCTATTAAAAAACCAGCGCATCAACCCTTTCAACTCGAGCCATGCTTGGGTGTGAATGCCAACCGGGATCAAAGGATGTTATCGAGGGATGGTAACTAAGGGGATTCCTGAGGTTTGTTTTGAGTTCATGTGGGGAAAGTTTGAGCCCAAGGAATCTGAAGGTGGTTTTCCGGCGAGCTTTCAGAATATGGAACTTAGCCGTAAACGTTAAGCCCTAAGATTGTGAGCGTCGATCTTTCCAATGTCCTCAATATCACCAAGCCCCGTTCCTGGAGAGCTGAATGAACTGCCAGAAGACGAAGGTCACGACAGCAATGATGGTTTTAAGAAGCATGGGTTTCCTGAGGGTCATGCAGCTTTTCTGCTTTCTTCTGGTTATCCCACGCCCGAACCTTGTTGCCTCTCTTCAGGAAGGCTTCCAGAAGGCTCTGCCCCCTTGGCTTCTGCAGGCTGGGCCTCCGGGAGCTCATTGAAGCCGAGCATCCCATCAAGGTGGTCCACGACTTTCGCCGGGGGCCTTCAGAGCAGGGCAGTTACTTGCGGGGGTTAGTAGGGAAGAAGGAATATATCATGTAGGGATTATATAGGGTTTAGGGTTTTCGGGGAAAATAGTATGCAGGGATTATATAGGGATCACTTGTATTTCCTGCTACGCACCAGTGAGGTTAGACGCAGAATCTGAGGGTGTGCATGATCTGGGTCGCGGTTAGGGAACTTCATTGAGTTACTATCATGGGGGAATCATATTAATTACTCTATATATATACACATATACCCATTATTGTAACTTACTTTAAGTTCCTTAACAGCAGCCCAGCAGTTTGGGGTGTGGGAATTTTGGGTGTAGGTTTTGGGGGTAAACAGTTAGGGAGAAGTAGGGGCTACAGGGGAGCTGGTGATTTAGGCTTAGTCATTCTGGGTTTAGGTTAAGGGTGCAGACATGTCGTTCTGGATTTAGGATTTATGGTTCAGGAAGCTTTTCAGCCTTTTGGAGATCACTTCTGCGATTTTTTTGTGCTCTCGGGAAGTAGTTCTACACCTAACTAGGAATAGTTCTTAGCAAGATCTTGCTCGCTTTTTGAGCCCAATGTGGCCCTCAACAAGTTTTTCTCGAAGATTGCAGTCGGATGCTTTTGTAGTACAAGAACCAGCTAAGACTGTCAAGCACTGTGCTGTGGAGAGAATCCAGGAAATATCCAAGCCCAACAATCCGCTAATTGGGATGCTTTAAAGGGCAATCTCAGGTTGACTTTGGGGTACGCCGCTCGGCCAAGGCCCAAAACCCTAAGCCCGAGACTCTAAAACTTACATGCCCCCTAACCCTTCGCTTCAGACGCTAAGCCCTAGACCCACAACCCTAAACCCNNCCTAAACCCTAGACCCTAAACACTCTACCTTAAATCATGAACCGTAACTTTGAAGAAGCCCATTAGCCCGACTCCTCGGCTTACCAGGGGTTAGTGGGGAAGAAAGGCACATATTTATGGGAGTTATATATTGGGATTAGGGTTTCACGTTTAGGGGTACTTGGAGGTCCATTGTACTTATAACCTACTTAGTAACTGTAGTTATAACCCAATTATATCTAGGGTAACTGTAGTTATGGGACTTATAATTAGGTCAAAACTACAGTTACTACTTAGGTTATAAGTA